AATCCGACCGAACATCGTCCGACGCAGAAGTAGAAGAGACCAGATGTTTCCAAACACCAAATACGTCGGTAGTTTTCATTTTACCGCTGAAAATTTGACATCATTTTAAAAGCAATTATCGTGAAAACCACAAAGTCCAGCTCAGTGACGACGCTGATGTTGGTCGACCAGATCCTTTAATCCTGCAGCATCAGACGAACTCTTAACATTTTTAGTATCGAGTCCAAATTTGTTGGTGAAGTTTTTCCAAATGTTGCGTTGAAGCTGCTCAGTCCGGTGAGTTTGAGCAGCAGATTCCAAAACGCAAAACGACTTCTCTTCATGAGTGAACAAAAATAAAACATTGTGTAAAATCTTCATCTGTTTCTAAAGTTCTGTGAAATTTTGAGGTTATTTCAAATTCCAAAATTACTGGTCTGTAAAATGATGTCACAGTTTTTGGTTTGATCACAGTCGGTCGAGTCCAGAGTCGAGAACAACACCAGTAGTTTCACCACATGTTTCCAAACGTCGTCCTGGTTTGTGACGTAAACGTGAGGAGAGATGGAATTAAATCTAACTGCTCCCTCCTATGCAGGGAGCAGGTGTCACACAGTAATGTTCCGCAGTGTGGCTTTAGAACAGATTTTTACTGAAGTGGTCGACTCTTGTGACGTCTGAACTTTCCCAATAAAACAGTCGATTCTTGATGCACATTCTGCAGCAGTGTGATGTACCTGATCCCCTTTTACCCTCCTCCTCACCCTGTGCCCTTTTACCCCTTTGTGCCCTTTTACCCCTTTGTGCCCTTTGACCCCTTTGTGCCCTTTGACCCTTTGTTCCGTCCTCAGGTCTGTGGGCACGTTCGCTCGAGCTCTCGACTGCAGCAGCTCCGTCCGACAGCCGAGTCTGCACATGAGCGCCGCCGCCGCCTCCAGAGACATCACACTGGTGAGACACACTTTTACATGTTCACATGTTCACATGTTTACACGTTCACATGTTTACACATTGTGCACATGTTTACACATTGTACACACGTTCACACGTTCACACGTTTACACGTTCACATGTTTACACGTTCACATGTTTACACGTTCACATGTTTACACGTTCACATGTTTACACGTTCACATGTTTACACATTTGTACACATGTTTACACGTTCACATGTTTACACGTTCACATGTTTACACGTTCACATGTTTACACATTACATGTTCACATGTTTACACGTTCACATGTTTACACACGTTCACATGTTTACACATTTACACATGTTCACGTTTACACATTCACATGTTTACACATGTTTACACATTGTACACATGTTTACACGTTCACATGTTTACACGTTCACATGTTTACACGTTCACATGTTTACACGTTCACATGTTTACACGTTCACTTACACATGTTTCACATGTTTACACATTCACATGTTTACACGTTCACACGTTTACACGTTCACATGTTTACACATTGTACACATGTTTACACATTGTACACATGTTACAGTTCACACGTTTACACGACATGTTTACACGTTTACACGTTCACATGTTTACACATTGTACACATGTTTACACGTTCACATGTTCACACGTTCACACGTTCACATGTTTACACGTTTACACGTTCACATGTTTACACGTTCACACGTTTACACGTTCACACGTTTACACGTTCACATGTTTACATGTTTACACATTGTACACATGTTTACACGTTCACATGTTTACACACGTTCACATGTTTACACATTCACATGTTTACACATTCACGTGTTTACACGTTTACACATTCACATGTTTACACGTTCACATGTTTACACATTCACATGTTTACACGTTTACACGTTCACATGTTTACACGTTCACATGTTTACACGTTTACACGTTCACATGTTTACACGTTCACATGTTTACACGTTCACATGTTTACACGTTTACACATTCACATGTTTACACGTTTACACATTCACATGTTTACATTTTACACTTACATGTTTACACGTTCACGTGTTTACACATTCACGTGTTTACACGTTCACGTGTTTACACATTCACATGTTTACACATTCACATGTTTACACGTTTACACGTTCACATGTTTACACGTTTACACATTCACATGTTTACACGTTCACATGTTTACACATTGTACACATGTTTACACATTGTACACATGTTTACACGTTCACACGTTTACACGTTCATATGTTTACACGTTTACACGTTCACATGTTTACACATTGTACACATGTTTACACGTTCACATGTTCACATGTTTACACGTTTACACGTTCACATGTTTACACGTTCACACGTTTACACGTTCACACGTTTACACGTTTACACGTTCACATGTTTACATGTTTACACATTGTACACATGTTTACACATTCACATGTTTACACGTTCACATGTTTACACGTTTACACATTCACATGTTTACACATGTTCACGTGTTTACACATTCACATGTTTACACGTTTCACATGTTTACACATTCACATGTTTACACGTTCACATGTTTACACGTTTACACGTTCACATGTTTACACGTTCACATGTTTACACGTTCACATGTTTACACGTTTACACGTTCACATGTTTACACGTTTACACATTCACATGTTTACACGTTTACACATTCACATGTTTACACGTTCACGTGTTTACACTTACACATTCACATGTTTACACGTTTACACGTTCACATGTTTACACGTTCACATGTTTACACGTTCACATGTTTACACGTTTACACACGTTCACATGTTTACACGTTTACACGTTCACATGTTTACACGTTCACATGTTTTACACATGTTTACACATTCACATGTTTACACGTTTACACGTTCACATGTTTACACGTTCACATGTTTACACGTTCACATGTTTACACGTTCACATGTTTACACGTTCACATGTTTACATGTTTACACATTGTACACATGTTTACACGTTCACATGTTTACACGTTCACATGTTTACACGTTCACATGTTTACATGTTCACATGTTTACACGTTCACACGTTTACACGTTCACATGTTTACACATGTTTACACATGTTTACACATTGTACACATGTTTACACGTTCACACGTTTACACGTTCACATGTTTACACGTTCACATGTTTACACATTGTACACATGTTTACACGTTCACATGTTCACACGTTCACATGTTTACACGTTTCACATGTTTACACGTTCACACGTTCACATGTTTACACGTTCACATGTTTACACATTGTACACATGTTTACACGTTCACGTTTACACGTTCACATGTTCACACGTTCACATGTTTACACGTTCACACGTTTACACGTTCATGTTTACATGTTTACACATTCACACGTTTACATGTTTACACATTGTACACATGTTTACACGTTCACGTTTACACGTTCACATGTTCACACGTTCACATGTTTACACGTTTACACGTTTACACGTTCACATGTTTACACGTTCACATGTTTACACATTGTACACATGTTCACACGTTTACACGTTCACATGTTTACACGTTCACACGTTTACACATTGTACACATGTTTACACGTTCACACGTTTACACGTTCACACGTTTACACGTTCACACGTTCACACGTCTACACGTTTACATGTTTACACGTTCCCGCTTTTTCACGTTCACATGTTTACACGTTCACATGTTTACACATTGTACACATGTTTACACGTTCACACGTTTACACATTGTACACATGTTTACACGTTTACACATTGTACACATGTTTACACGTTTACACATTGTACACATGTTTACACGTTCACATGTTTACATGTTCACATGTTTACACGTTCACACGTTTACATGTTCACACGTTCACACATTCACACATTCACATGTTTACATGTTTACACGTTCACATGTTTACACGTTCACACTTTTTCACGTTCACATGTTTACATGTTCACATGTTTACACGTTCACACATTCACATGTTTACATGTTTACACGTTCACACATTCACATGTTTACACGTTTACATCGGGGGTGGACATTATTTTTTCCGTGGGGCCACATGACAAATCAGAAAATATTGTTGAGGCCAAAATGTTTAACTCAGTTTTGCAGAATTAAGAGACTTTATAAAAAACAGTAAATATCATTGTTTATATCAGAGTTTATATTTGGACTAAGCAATGAAAAAGTGAGTCTCCCTGACAACAAGTCATTAAAAACACTTCTAAAAGAAAATCAGTGCAGTTTTAGTTCATGCATGAGGTAAAGTTGTAGGTATAATTAGGTTTATTTTGTAATTCCAAATGATCTTAAATGGGCCGATCAGAGTCGACAAAAGGGACGTATGTGGCCCAGGTCTGTTTTACATGACGACACGACTAAACTAAATATTATACAATTTTATACTTTACAATTTTATACAATATCTGACTTTGTCCAGAGGCATCAGACTGGTGAGAAAAATGTGCTTATGATTACACAATTACACGTTTACAGGACAAAACTGTGTTATACACGGCAAAGGAGAAATTTTATTTGTTTATTTGTTGAATACATTTCTTAGTTCATCCAAGCTGCTTCTTCAGTTCTGGTCAGACTCTGGTGGACACTTCCTTAAATCTGTCTGCGGGGAGGAGCTAACTACACTGAAACTAACAGAAACTGTAAACAGGTATGTGTGTGAGTTTCAGAGGAGTTTCAGTGTAGTTAGCTCCTCCTTTTCCCTCAGTCGTCCAGGTAGAATCCATGGAGAGGATTGTACCTGGACGACTGTATAAAACAGAGAGAAGGAAGAGTCACCAGAGTCTGACCAGAACTGAAGAAGCAGCTTGGAGGAACTGAGAAACAATTTAACAAATAAATGTTTGTCCAGTCGACAAATTGAATTTCTCCTTTGCCTTGGATTCTACGTGAACGACACATGTGTCATACATATATGACCTGTTCTGTCAGGTTCCTGCAGGATAAAATCATAAATATTGGTGATTGGGACTCAGAGTTTGAGCGTCTCCGAGCAGAAACTGGAGATTTCACTGGCCGAAAATGATCCTCCTTTTGAACAGTGTTCATTTTTTATTCAGTTTGACTTTATTTTATTAACAACAAATAGTTTGTCTTTGTATTTTGAATGATGTTGTTCTGGTGCACTGTTCCTTTATGACCTGACACCCTTGGGTGTTTGTCACGTCCTGTTTAAGACGAGCACCTGAACTCTCACTGTGTTCGTCTGACGAAGGCCTCGTGATGAAACGTTGTACTGTAAATCCTCATAAATCTCACAATTTGTAAGACGATGTGCGGGATTTTTCTCAATGTTCTTTTGCTGCTCCGTCTCCTCCAACAAACCCGTCTCGAGTTGTTTATGTGCGACGTTCTCGTTCTTTCATTAATAACAAATAAAAATCATCTTCAGTGTTAAGTTCCTGAACATAAACAATTCAGACTTTTAATTACTGCTTTTAAACATTTAAGTCTGAACTCACCAAACCACAGACGTTTACTGACACAGGATCTGAGGATCTGTAGACTTCTCCTTTTTTTTTTTTTTTTTATAATTTGTCACATTTAAGGGATTGGAGACCCAGCACATCCACAATAAGACAGACTTGACTAAACACGCATACAAAAAAAAAATGAAATAAAATAAATAAATAATATAAATAAAAAAAATAATAAATAAAATTAAATAAATAAGTAAATAATAATAATAATAATGATAATAATACCAAAAAAAAGGGGGGGGCTTCTCCTTTTAAATCACACAAAATGATCTTTATTTAGTGAGTTTGATCTGCACAAAAACGCTCTGACACGTGCTCCTCGTGTTCTTATTTATCCGTTCAGATTTCAGTCTTTTCGTCGATTCTCCTGGACGTGTTTAAAATACCAACTCTGAACAGAATCCTTTTATTAAATCAGAACTCGCAGCCGTGTTCAGGGCCCCGGCGCTCGTCAGAAGCTCGGCCCCGACTCTCCGACTCTCCTCCTCGTTCTGTGGGAGCTGTGATCCGGGGCCCCTCGTCTGCTCCTCATTTATAAAACATGTCCGACGCCGTTAAGCTCCTCCTCCTCCTCCTCCCAGCGCGGGGACTGAGGCGCGGCCCCCGAGCTCACGGAGGCGCACGGAGGATCAGAGTCTGAACCGGAGCTGCGTCGGAGCCGAGGAGAACAGAGCACGAAACAGAACGGAGGAGGGAGGAGACGAAGATCTGCTCGCTGGAGTCGACGTTTTCAGATTCTAGAATGTGATTTTTAAACTCCCAGGTCTTTTCCTCTGAAATATCCAAAAAGTAACGTCACAAATATGGAACTTAAAGGTTGTATGGAGGATTTTTTTTGTTTCAAATTGTCAGTGATAGATTATAGATGCAGTCGCCTTGTAATTATGATGACCAAAAAAAAGAGAATAAAAATTCATCAACTCTGGACGTGGTGGGGCTAAACATTTGCCAATAGATAACGACACTGCCTCGTTATCTGTGAGCTGACAGGCTGTCAATCAAACTCCCTACGTTTCTAGTGTAACTGACTTGCCTGCGCGCCGCTGTTACGTGGTTTACGTACGACTGTCACACAGTCCACAGACGCAAGACGCACAGACGCTGTTTACTCCACCAACGCAACAGTTCTTAGAGGCTTTTTTTGACCTATATCTTCCTCGCAGTTCGCACAAAGTTTGTTGCGATGGCGACAGAATCCAGGAGCAGTTCGCCGCAAAAGAAAGTCCGTTTTTGAGGTCGCTGAAAGAAGAAGACAAGGGGAAAAGCAGCGAAGCCAAACTAAGGTGATTCTTGTAGATTCATTCCAGCGATGGCGCGACTGAAGCAGACGAAGGAGTCTAAAGACTGAACCACTGGTCCACAAATTACTCCTGGACAGGAAACTTCTGCTTATTATGAAAACGTACTTTATTTCCAAGAGCTAAACAAACGTTTTTCAGGACACGAAAGCGATATCCTATGTCTGAAAACGTAATTTTCAAGGCAAAGAAAGAGTCCGCTTGCTGCTGCGTGTTGTAGTTAGTTCATTCGCACTGAATCTCCGCGCAACCTTCTCTGCTCCCCTTTCCTGCTCCTCTCCCCCCGCTCCTCACTTCTCCGTCTTGTCTAACCAACACTGTAGTTAGTTGTTTACAAGTCATGTGCAGCGGCTGTAAACAAACCTGTTTGTGGCGTAAGGAGGAGGAGGGAGGAGGTGTTTCTACGTAGGAGCTGTGGGGGAGGGGAGGTGGTTTCACGCAGGAGCAACATTTGAAAAAGGACAAACAGTCGCTGGATTTCTCCTTCCTTGGAAAATCCTCTATACAACCTTTAAAAGCAGAAAATATGAAAAATCCCTCGATACGACATGTTCACGATATCGTTTAATTCCTGCATAATAAACGTGGAACAATATTGACGTTTGGTGTTGATGATCACGGCCAAAATGTCACTTTTTTTCACGGTTTGTTTGTTTCCTGTGACTTTTTCTCCGGTGTCACTTAATCCGTGTCATTTGTTCATTCGTAAACAAATGAAAAAACAGATAATGGTTCGTTTTGTTTGATGATGATTTTGTGTTTAAATGAAAAATGGAAAAAATAGATAAGGAACGTTTCCAGTTTATGTGACTTCAGTGACTGTGATGCCGGACTGAACCAGGACTGAACCAGGACTGATCCAGGACTGATCCAGGTCCGGGACCAGATCAGGACTGAGACCGAGACCAGATCGGGACTGAGACCGGGACTGAGATCAGGACCAGAGTGGGACTGAGACCTGGACCAGACCGGGACTGAGACCAAGCCGGGACTGAGACCGAGACCAGACCAAGACCGGACCAGGACCAGAGCGGGACTGAGACCGAGATCATGCCGGGACCAGACTGGGACCAGACTGGGACCAGACCGGAGGCTCAGAGCCCACTGCAGGGCCAGAGCTCGAAGCTGAGGCTCGGGGTCAAAGCTCAGAATCCGGTCTCAGTCCCAGTCTTAGTCCCGCTCTGGTCCTGGCCCTGGATCAGTCCTGGTTCAGTCCGGCATCACAGACAAAGAAGTCACATAAACGGGAAACAGTCGTTATCCGTTTTATCCATTTTTCATTTAAACACAAAATCGAAAACTGAAAAAAACGAATCATTTTGGAGACAAATAATGAAGAAAACTGTAGTTTTTTGTTTTCTTATTTTTGGTTTTATATTGAAAAACTGAACAAATGACACACGGATGTGATTTCTATATTCAGATGTTTTTGGTGAAGTGTGGAGAGGCTCTCGTCTTGTGTGTGAGGATCTGCTGCTCCTGTTCCTCCTGCACCACTGTCACTTGGCTCTACTGCACATGTCTCCTGCAGAAAGAGCCTCTGTCCTGATGTAAATAGTGAAATTTTCAGCCGAAGACGGAAACGGAGCAGCAGAAAGAAAGTTTGGAGTGAGAGAGAAACTTTCAGGGAGGATGAACCATGAAACTTTCCTGAAGTCACTGGACGGACAGAGTCTGGACTTCAGTGACACCGAAACCATCCTGTCGGGATTCAGAAAGTTTTGAAATGTTGTCAGTGAAAAAGAGTGGGAACCCTGTAGTGAGCGCCCCCTTCAGGCAGATATGAAGAAGTGTCCTCCAGCGTCCGACCAGAACAGATGAGCTGAGAAATGTTTTTGACCTAAATAAACGTTTGTCCAGTTTCTCTTTTTGTCGTGTTCCACAAATGATGATTGGCAAAGAAGGAACTCAAAAGTTTATTTTGGTCGAAGACGTTTCGCGGCTCATCCAAGCTGCTTCTTCAGTTTTGGTCTGAACTGAAGAACCGTGGATTCTGCCTGAACGACTGAAGGACTTTACACACAAACGATGATTCTGTACCATTGATTGATGTTACTGTTATTGTCTCTAATCCCTGGCGTCTTCTTCTCGTTTCTTCTGTTCTGTTCTTCAGTTCCACGCCATGGACAGCCTCCACGCGGCGGGTTACGACATGACCCGGGCCATCGCGTCTCTGGTTCCTCAGGGGGGGCCGGTGCTCTGCAGGGACGAGATGGAGGAGTGGAGCGCGTCTGAAGCCAACCTGTTCGAAGAAGCTCTGGAGAAGTACGGCAAGGACTTCACGGACATACAGCAGGACTTTGTGAGTGGATTTAACTCGTACGGCTCATGTTTTGGTATGTATTTAGTTTAATATATTGGTAAAAGTAAAACACTGCTCTGGTGAAAGTGTCTCTTGAGCGCCGTCTGTGAAAACAAAGTGGTAAATATTAAAGGTGCTTTAAAGTCCCCTGTCCAAAACTGAAGAGACGAAAGTTAAAGGTTCGTTTTCCTTTAAGTTGTTTCCTTCTGAACGTCGTGTTTCCGTGTCGCTGTCACGTTTTCTATTTAAATGTTCTCGTAGGGTTGATGTGTTCAGGCTGGTGCCACCTAGTGTCTCTGCTCAATTTCATTTCTCTCCAGTGACTCGGTCAAGAATCAGAAAACACTAAACCAGGAGAGTCAAACTCATTTTGTTCCGGGCGTCGTGTCCAACCGACTTTGATCCAAAGTGTCCGGATCAGAAAACTCATGTCATATAAACCCCAAAAATAACAATAAGCTCAAATATTTGTGCAGAGAAACACAAATCTATTACAGAAATCTTTTTTAATTGATGAACTCTTTCTTTTACAAAATATTATAATATTATGAACAACCTGAAACTTTAAGAAAAATACAATTTCAACACAAAGTTTGAACATGAACTTGTCTGTAAACAGGAATAAGTTCATTTTTGTTGTAAAATCCTGCACTCGGCTCCACTTTTCTCATGTTGGACATTTTTCTGATGAGGGTGTCACGGTCAACAGTCAAAACGATCGTCCTTTAAGAGCGTTTGGAAAGAGACAAGTCTTCATTTGTGCTGCTCTGGTGGGAGGGGCCACGTACAGAGACGCTGGAGACGCTGCTGTGATAAACACCACAGAAAATTAACAAGATTTTAATAGAAAATATCATTACAATATTTTAGTAGAAAATCAGCCGAGGGACAGATTAAAGGTCTTGGAGGGCCGGATCTGGCCCCCGGGCCAAAATGAGTTTGACATACCTTGTCTAGATTGTTTACAAAAACTCTGGAAGTGTGAATTCGGGCTCCAGCCAATCAGAGAAGAGACACATTCTGTGTTGTCAGTGAAAGATGAATACAGCAGTTTTCTGTGTTAGTGGAGCTTTACAAACGTCACGACCAAACAACAGCGATTGGTTAAATAAAAAAAGTCCCGCCTCCTGTTGAGCGAACAAATCCTAATGCTGCAGGTCACACGGTTTCCACCAAGTGAAATGAAGTGAAACCGTGTGATGAATCAGACTCGGGTCTGTGATATGAAGCTGCACTGACAAATGTTCTGAAACATTTTTTAACAAACTGCAATAAAAAGCGTTCACATTTATATGCTTTATTTTCTTTGTAATTAATTATAATCATCATTAATACACTTATGTCCCACTGCCAATAAAAAAAACCTAGTGCCTCCGAGATGTTGGTGAGAAACTAAACTAGACTAGACTAAAACTACGATTAAACCAGGACTAAAACCAGGACTAAACTAGGACTAAACCATCACTAAAACCAGGACTAAATCAGGACTAAAACCAGGACAAACTAGGAAGTAAAACCAGGACTAAAAACTAGGACCAAACCAGGACTAAAACCAGGACTAAAACTAGGACTAAATCAGGACTAAAACAGGATTTAAACAGGAACTAAACCAGGACTAAACCAGGACTAAACCAGAACTAAACCAGGTCTAAACCAGGACTAAACCAGGTCTAAAACCTGGTCTAAAACCAGGTCTAAAACCAGGATTTAACAGGACTAAATCCTGCTGTGTGGACGTGTTTCTTCTTCTTCTATCAATAATATTTTTAATTTGGTTCAGTAAAGTTTGGACTTTTTTTTTTTTTAATCAGACAAAACTTCTTATGTGAAGATTTCCTCGTCTTTGTTTCTCTACAACAAATCAAGTAATCCAAAGTAATCAGATTACATTACTCACTTTAAGTAATTTAATGGATTCTGTTACAAACTACATTTTGGGGTGTGTAATCTGTAATCTGTAGGGGATTACATTTTAAAAGTAAACTTCCCAACACTGGTCGTCTGTGATATGAAACTCTTCTACTACAATAAACGACGTCTTTGTCGATTCGTCCACTGGGTCGTTTTTTGAGCAGAGCCGGAGACTTTCCAGTGTAAATGTCGCACCACGACACTGACAAACTGCAACAAAATGTTAAAAAATTTATATTTTAAATGCGTATTTTCTTTGTAATTAATTAATCATAATTAAAAAATCTTAGTGCCTCCATGATGTTGGTGAGAAACTCTGGAGGCTTCGTGTGAGAGAAAAGGAGAAAAAGAGAAAGTGAAGTGTAAATCTCATCAAAAAATGAAACAAAAGGTTGCAGACTCTTCCAGCTGATGTTAAACACGCCTTTATTTAAAATTCTCAGCTGAATTCCTGATCAAACCGAAGATGTTTTTGTGCATTTCCTTTGTGCCTTCACACCGAGCACCACTCTGCCCCCTGGTGGACGGACGGCGCCGGTGCTGCTCACTCCGGTTTCCACAAACAAAACCTCGGCTCCGTTTTGTTCTGGGTGGAGTTTGAGGCTCTTTTTTTTTTTTTTTTTTTTTCTTTTCTTTTAAAAACTTTCAGAACAGACCCGGCCTCTGTGTTCGGACGCCAAAGGGAAGTTCTGAACCACATCTGAGACGAAAAGCGTGGAAATAAAAAGGTTTAAATGTTGTAAAAGTTGAATTGTTTCATGTTTTTGTTTCTCAGCTCCCGTGGAAATCTCTCACCAGTATAATCGAGTATTATTACATGTGGAAGACGACAGACAGATACGTACAACAGGTAAAAAAAAAACAACAACATTATTATTATTAAAATTAACATCATTTTAAAGACGAACCTTTTGAGATCCTAAAATAATTCGCCCTCGACTGGATTTCGTGAACATGTGGAGCTGAGTTTTCTCGGGCGTCTCAGACTCTGTGGGCAAAAGTACGACGTTAATCACACTTTTGATTTTTAGAAGACACTTGACATTTAGAATTTAAGTATTTAAAATGATGAGGTTTGATTTGATTTGATTGAATCAGGAGTAAATGTTCATATTTTTACACGGCGCTTTTTCTCTATTGCTCTATTTTACTAACACTGACACAGAGATTGAAAGAGAAAAGAATTACAATTTTCAGTTTATTGTATTTCATATTTTAGTCTCAATCTTGTTTTTTTTATTTTTTTTTTTATTTATTTATTTCATTCATAAAGCATAAAAAGACCTCAACAGTGTCACAACATCAGACACACAAGAAATGAATGAAAAGGAGCAGAAAAATCTTCTGTTCTCTGCCCCTTTTTCCTTTTTCAAGACAAAACATCAACACCGATCGTCACTAAACTTTCCAGATCAGTTCAGGCACAATCACTGATCAACTGCAAACAGTAAATCTTCATTATTATACACAACGACTTAGTTTTCTTTTTCATACAAAATGTCGTCATTGTACTTGATTCTTTTATTTCTTTGTCAAGACTTTTCCATAAGTTTAACTCCTTTCACAGCGACACTTTTTTTTTTTTTTTTATCCTGTGAGATCTTGTCCTCATCTCTGCCCATTAAACTGTGTATTATTTATGTGTTTGTATTTTCTGTGTGTTTCAGAAACGGTTAAAAGCGGCAGAAGCAGAGAGTAAACTGAAGCAGGTCTACATCCCAAATTAGTGAGTATCAAACACTGATGGATCAAGTTAAATAAACCTCTGTTCAGTTCATCACACAGACTGTATAAAGAAGTGATCTGAATCAGTGGGCTCCAGTCAGTTGAAGGACACAGTCACACTAGAGTCACGTTTACACTGAAGGGTCCAGTCAAGTGTTAACGGAGGAAACAGGGTCAGATTTTTGACATTCAAATGAAACTAGAGGAACTATTGAAATAAGTAAAGTATCAGAATGTAGGAAAGAGTTACACTCCAACAGGGTCAAGTTAAACCTGTGAGATTCTTTCAAGTTCAAGACAAAAAATTAAAAAACTCATGTCGGTAACGGAGGGAATGAAATATGCAGCACTTTTTGGTCAATAAATCCAAACAGTGAAAACTCTTGGTTCTCACTTCCATATCCTTAACAAACTGGTTTGAATATTTGCTTCATATAGTTTTCTACCATATGGTACAAGATTAGGTTGAAAAACCTCTGACTTTTTGACTCATGAGATTTTTTATTAAGAAAGTTCATGGTAACGGAGGGAAAAGTAACGGAGGGAAAATTGTACAAACAAGTAGAAGGTGCAGGATTTTACATCATTTGTCACTTTTTTCTTCTGAAAACTTTAATATTACTTCAAAATGAAAGAAACTATTTCTATAAAATATGTCAGTCCTTCCAAGAACATTTTTATCATTTTAAATACTTTTTTTTTTTTTAAATCCTGTCCCTTCATCAACAGTTCAAAGATGGAATAACACAAGATATGATGAAATACAAACATTTATTTACATGATTTTCAGGTCTTTGAAATTGGGAAATAATTTTTGTTCCATGTTTCATTCATGGTCTGTTTAAAACAGATGGAACTTTAGAACCAAAAATGGAACAGAAAAAAGGTCAACAGTTTGATAAACTCGAGTACATATGTATCTGTTCAATACTGTTTTATATCAGATGAATTCACTTGAAGTTTTGGTCTTGTTGTTTACTTCTGCTGGACTGTATCACCGTATCGGAAACGATTTGGGTCCAGACACATCGTTTCTGTGTCCTCAGTCCATTGGATTAGTGTGAACGAACACTGCATCCACAACCAAAACAACTCCAGTACACACTAGTGTGGACGGGGCCTGGGACTGTAGAACTGTGCCCATCGCTGTGGTTCTTTGTTCCACACTCACACCTGAACAACTGAACCAAACCACGGCCCAAGACGTCCTCACGGTGCTGTTTTTTTACATGAGGCAACAAAGTAAACGCTTTAGCCGAGAAAACAAGTGCTGCGATACGACCTCCTCCATGAGTTTAAAAACAGAGCAGACGAGTGAGGAGACGACGCTGCAGAACTACTGTCTCTGTCACAGTCTTTACTGAAGTTCACACAGGGTCACTGTGGTTTAGACTGACTTTTAGAGCGACTTTATCCACTGTCTTCCTCATATGAGTAACATCAGCGCACACACAGGGCTCGTAGAGTAAAGTCGTGTGTGTACGTGTGTGTACATGAGCTCCGGGTCGTGCTTTGGCCCACCTCCTCCAGTCGGGTCGGAGTCTCAGTCGGGTCGTCCCTGGCCCCGGTTCGATCGCGCTCACTCTTATATATTTATTTCTATTTCTATATTTGTCTGTTTCAGTAACAAACCGAACCCAAACCAGCTGAGTAACAGTGTGAAGCCTCTGGTGAACGGCGCCGGTTCTGCTCCTCCTCAGACTCCAGGACTGGGCCGGGCCTGTGAGAGCTGCTACAGTAAGTCCTGAAAGAACCACACGTCCTCACCACAAAACATCACGTCACAGAGATTATGTACAGAATCTACATCATGTACAGAATCTACATTGTGTACATAATGTACATCATGTTCTCTGAATAATTTAAACACTGGTCAGAGCTGCAGGATGCAGAGAGGAGGAGGAGGAGGAGGAGGAGGAGGAGGAGGAGGAGGAGGAGGAGGAGGAGGAGGAGGAGGAGAGAGAGAGGAGGAGGAGAGAGGAGGAGGAGGAGGAGGAGAGGAGGAGGAGGAGGAGAGAGAGGAGGAGGAGAGAGGAGGGAGGAGGAGGAGGAGGAGGAGGAGGAGGAGGAGGAGAGGAGGAGGAGGAGGAGGAGGAGGAGGAGGAGGAGGAGGAGAGAGGAGGAGGAGAGAGAGGAGGAGGAGGAGGAGGAGGAGGAGGAGGAGGAGGAGGAGAGGAGGAGGAGGAGGAGGAGGAGGAGGAGGAGAGGAGGAGGAGGAGAGAGGAGGAGGAGGAGGAGAGGAGGAGGAGGAGAGGAGGAGGAGGAGGAGAGAGGAGAGAGAGAGGAGGAGGAGGAGGAGGAGGAGGAGGAGGAGGAGGAGGAGGAGGAGGAGGAGGAGGAGGAGGAGGAGAGGAGAGAGAGGAGGAGGAGGAGGAGGAGGAGGAGGAGGAGGAGGAGGAGGAGGAGGAGAGAGGGAGAGGAGGAGGAGAGAGGAGGAGAGGAGAGAGAGGAGGAGGAGGAGGAGGAGGAGGAGGAGGAGGAGAGAGAGAGGAGGAGGAGGAGGAGGAGGAGGAGAGAGAGGAGGAGAGAGGAGAGAGGAGAGAGGAGGAGGAGGAGGAGAGGAGGAGAGAGAGGAGGAGGAGGAGGAGGAGGAGGAGAGGAGGAGGAGGAGGAGGAGAGGAGGAGTTGTTCCTCTGAAAACTGTTCAAACCTCAGAAGGCACAGATTTAATAATCAAATATATTTATGAATTAAATCACAAACACAAACAGTTTCTGCCTTTGGCTTTTGCACAAAAACTTATATTTGACTGACAAATAAGGTCAAAGGTCAAATCTGAGCTCAATATTTTTCAGAATATTTCTTCATGTGATAAAAGAACCAAACACAAATAAAACGACACAAACTCATTTATGCCCAACCTGATGTTACGGCTTCTGTGTTTCTCTGTGTTTCTCTGTGTTTCTCTGTGTTTCTCTGTGTTTCTCTGTGTTTCTCTGTGTTTCTCTGTTTCTCTGTGTTTCTCTGTGTTTCTCTGTGTTTCTCTGTGTTTCTCTGTGTTTCTCTGTGTTTCTCTGTGTTTCTCTGTGTTTCTCTGTGTTTCTCTGTGTTTGTAGAACAGTGTTGCTATGGCGACGGCTGCAGAGTGAATAAAATGATTTATTTTGAGGAAAAAAACACCAGCAGAGTGAGATCTGTGTTTTATAAGCTCCAGTTAATTACTGTCAGTGTTTTACAGAAAACCTGAAGCTCGTACAGCGTTAAACGACCTGAGTGCACAGATCACCTCAGGTCACAGTCGCACAAAACAAAACTCTGCAGTTTATTTTGTGACTGAATAAGTCCAGGGTTCCCACGGTCATGGAAATCCTGGAAAAGTCATGGAATTTTAGTCTCTCTTCCCCACAGCTCCAGTTCAGTTCAGTTTTCATGAGATCAGAGGAAATCACAGTTTAACTGAACTTGGGTGAATATTTTCTTTGACTTTTGACTGTTCATAGTTGAAAGATTTAGATTTTCATTGAAGCAAGTTTTTATTTTTGACTGACTGTTGACCTGTGGGAAAAAAAACATCTAAAAGGAGTTCAAAAGCTGCAGATCGACTACAGAGACATTTACTTATTATTATTATTATTATTTTATATGATCCAGTCCAACTTTATTTGTAGAGCACATTTTATTTAAAAAAAACTGTTTCCAAAGTGCTTCACACAGCGACTTAAAACATTTTACTTAAAAAAAAAAAATTCTGCATAATTATGTTTAAACCATGAGAAAACTACGGAAGCCGAGAGGGTCACAACAAACGCAAACACCGCAACAAATACAAAAAGCCACAAAGGAAATGACAGCGGGACTCTATTTTCCGACGGACCGATCGAGCGGCAAGTGAAGAAGAAGAAGAAGAACTACAACGTGAAACGAACAATGATAAAACAATAAATTACTTTTACTTACGTTTCCAACTTCTCCGTTCCTTTACTTTTCACGTCCTGTGGTCATTTCCGTTGTGGCTTTTTAATGTGTTGTGGCTTTTTAATGTGTTGTGGCATTTGCGTTTGTTGCAGCGTTTGTATTAAAATAAAGTCCCGCTGTCATTTCCGTTGTGGCTTTTTTGTCGTGTTGTCGCGTTTGTGTTCGTTGCGGCGTTTGCGTTTGTTGTGACCCTCTCGGCTTCCGTAGAAAACTAATAGAATCAATAAATAAAATAATAATAATAATAAAATCAATGAACAAAAATAATAAAATCAATACATAAAAGCAGCAAATTCTGTTTGTTCTGGATTCAGTGTTTAAGCAAAACTTTTATTAAAAAATTATTTTATTAAGAAAAGGTTTAACATTACAGATCTACAAAGAAGAGAAAACATGCAGATGATGTTGAAATTTTTAAATAAATATTTAGTTTGGTCCACGATTAGTCCCAGTTTTTATTTTTGATCCTCCTGCTTTAGGTCAGGAAAAAGTCATGGAAAGTTTTTGTACTGTTGTCAGTCCGTGTTGGACACCGTGTATGTGAACACAGATCAACAGCCAAACTCTGTTTTCACGAGCCTGGAAACTGAGCGTCTTACTCCTTTAATACAGTTTTCTAGACAACTTACGATTTGTTACAGTTGTGGCGCGAAAAGCCCAAGTGAAACTGAAAAACAAACAAATAAAATGTACATTAGTTTGCAATATAAGAACAGAAATCCATCAGAGAAATAACTAGCACCACAAACTGCTTCTTTAACAAGATCTTTTCATATGCTAATTAGGCCGCAAATACACGTGAACAGAGGCTTTGCACCGTCACGTGTCCCTATGGCAACAGATACCTACGCCGCCATGACACCGGACACACTGTCACTGACTTCAGCAGCATCAGAGAAACATGGGCAGGTTTTGTTGTGTATTTGGTTCTAGACGCTCTGAAAGGAATAAAACGATTAGTTTCTTCACTGTTCCTCTGGAAATGACTCATCAGGATCAAACAAGGGAATTATCAAAAAAAAGACGCGGATTATAGCAGCAAAATAAACCACGAAGAGATTTCCAATGGTCCCATCAAGACACACGAAGTTTCATCAAGATATTTGCTATTTAAATTATTTCATAGTTTATTTAATGAAAGAAACACATTTACTGAACTAAAATGTCATTAATTTATCCAGGAAAACCTGCACTAGTTTACGATTCAACGAACGCTCCTGTGATCAACACGACGCACGAGTCGAAGAGTCTGTGAGCCGAACCTCGAAAGAATCGACCATGAAAAGATCCTCGTGAACGTTAGAAAGATCCACTCACAAAAAGAGATTAATTCTAGAAGACAAAGTTGTGGATAAACAAGACAATAAAGAAAACCTGGTCCTACGACGAGTGACATGTTTATATGTGCTGGAACATACAGTTTCTACTCACACTCACACTGCAAATGTTTTCTTTTTACATTTTAGTTCAGTAAATGTGCTTCTCTCATTAAATAAACTATGAAACTATTTAAATAGCAAATACCTTGATGAAAGTGACGTGAGTGAGTCTTGATGGGACCATTGGAAATCTCTTCGTGGTTTATGTTTCTAGACATAATTCACGTCTTTTTTTGATAATTCCCTTGTTTGATCCTGATGAGTCATTTCCAGAGGAACAGTGAAGAAACAAATCGTTTTATCCTTTCAGAGCGTCTAGAACCAAATACACAACAAAACCTGCCCATGTTTCTCCGACGCTGCTGAAGTCAGTGACAGTGTGTCCGGTGTCATGGCGGCGTAGGTATCGTTGCCATGGGGACACGTGACAGTGCAGAGCCTCTATTGAGGTAGAACTACGCTAATACACAGGGCTCCTGAGCGAGCAAGATCATGGGCTCGGTCTAATTCCTGGAAATAACCTGCAAAAAACGATCTCTCCAACATCTTCCAGAACAAGTTTAAATCACCAAACACATAGTAAAAATTTACAGCCGTCGCTTTCAAAGCTGTAAATAAGATTTAACACACAGGATGTCAACAAACTGCTTTTCTGTAACACGTTTCTTTTCCTCTAACTGATTTCTGCCTCTGTTACCCATAATGCATCACAACCACTTCCTGAGGCCTTCAAAATAAGATGCAAGTAAAACCAAACCAAGAGTGCAGAGCCTTTATTTTTTAACAAATGACAAGTTTTTTAACATGAAATTATAACAGATGAATTAGAACATATTTATTACTAAATGATTATAAACCTTTTTAACTCTTCGTTGAAACACACTTTTACTGTGGCAGAACAGTTTTGAAATGTTGTCGTCAGTGGAAAAGTGGGGAACCCCGTGTAAGTTTAGTGTTTAGATTTCGTTTTTTCGTGTCTAATTTAAAGTCTCGTGTCGTTTCGCAGCGAGCAGTTTGTAAGTTTAGTGTTTGGATGTTGTTTTCTGTTTGTTTCGCAGCGAGCAGTTTGTAAGTTTAGTGTTTCGATGTTGTTTTCTGTTTGTTCGCAGCGAGCAGTTCGTTCCAGTGGTACTCGTGGGGACCTCCCAACATGCAGTGTCGTCTTTGCGCCTCCTGCTGGACGTACTGGAAAAAGTACGGCGGCCTGAAGATGCCCACGAGGCTCGACGGAGAGAGACCAGGACCCAACCGCTCCAGCTCGGTACGACACGGGAGGAAGAGGAGGAGAGGAGGAGGAGGAAGGAGGAGGAGGAAGAGGAGGAGGAGGAAGAGGAGGAGGAGGAGGAGAGGAGGAGAGGAGAGAAGGAGAGAGGAGGAGGAGGAGGAGGAGGAGGAGAGGAGGAGGAGGAGAGAGGAGGAGAAGGAGGAGGAAGGAGGAAGAGGAGGAGAGAGGAGGAAGAGGAGGAGGAGGAGAGGAGGAGGAGGAGAGGAGGAGGAGAGAGAGGAGGAAGAGAGGAGGAGGAGGAGGAGGAGGAGGAGGAGGAAGAGGAGAGAGGAGGAGAGAAGAGGAAGAGAGGAAGGAGAGGAAGAGGAGGAAGAAGAGGAGGAGAGAGGAAGAGAGAGAAAGAGAGGAGGAGGAGGAAGAGGAGGAAAGGAGGAGGAGAAAGGAGGAGGAAGAGGAGGAGGAGGAGAGAGGAGGAGGAAGGAGGAGGAGAGAAGAGGAAGGAGGAGGAGAAGGAGGAAGGAGGAAGAGGAAGAGGAGGAAAGGAGGAGAAGGAGAGGAAGGAGAGAGAAGGAGAGAAAGAAGGAGGAAGGAGGAGGAGGAAGAGGAGGAGGAAGAGGAGAAAGAAGAGGAAGAGAGGAGGAAGAGAAGGAGGAGAAAGAGGAGGAGGAAGAGAAGAGGAGGAAGAGAAACAGGAGGAAGAGGAGGATTAGAAAGAGAAAGAGGAGGAGAAAAAGGAGGAGGAAGAGGAGGAGGGTTTATATCAAAGTGTGTCATGTGACGCAGCAGATCAACGTCTCAGAGTTTTATTATAACAAAAGAGAAACTGTAATCACACTTTCTAAAAATGTCGTCTGAACCCACTGAGTTCACTGTTCTGTTTTATTTTATTTTTATTTATAAATTTTGTTATTTTGAGCGAGCTGTGATTGGTCCGTGTGTTCGTGTTCTGAGCTGTGATTGGTCCGTGTGTTTGTGTTCTGGTCTGTGATTGGCCCGTGTGTTCGTGTTCTGAGCTGTGATTGGTCTGTGTTTGAGCTGTGATTGGTCCGTGTGTTCGTGTTCTGAGCTGTGATTGGTCCGTGTGTTTGTGTTCTGAGCTGTGATTGGTCCGTGTGTTCGTGTTCTGAGTGTGATTGGTCCGTGTGTTTTGTGTTCTGAGCTGTGATTGGTCCGTGTGTTGGTGTTCTGAGCTGTGATTGGTCCGTGTGTTTGTGTTCTGGTCTGTGATTGGTCCGTGTGTTCGTGTTCTGGTCTGTGATTGGTCCGTGTGTTCGTGTTCTGGTCTGTGATTGGTCCGTGTGTTTGTGTTCTGAGCTGTGATTGGTCCGTGTGTTTGTGTTCTGAGCTGTGATTGGTCCGTGTGTTTGTGTTCTGGTCTGTGATTGGTCCGTGTGTTTGTGTTCTGAGCTGTGATTGGTCCGTGTGTTCGTGTTCTGGTCTGTGATTGGTCCGTTCGTTGGTGTTCTGGTCTGTGATTGGTCCGTGTGTTTGTGTTCTGGTCTGTGATTGGTCCGTGTGTTTGTGTTCTGGTCTGTGATTGGTCCGTGTGTTTGTGTTCTGAGCTGTGATTGGTCCGTGTGTTCGTGTTCTGGTCTGTGATTGGTCCGTTTTGGTGTTCTGGTCTGTGATTGGTCCGTGTGTTTGTGTTCTGGTCTGTGATTGGTCCGTGTGTTTGTGTTCTGGTCTGTGATTGGTCCGTGTGTTTGTGTCTGATTGGTCTGTTTGTGGTTCGTGTTTGTGTTCTGAGCTGTGATTGGTCGTGGTGTTCTGGTCTTGTGATTGTGTTGTTGTGTTCTGTCTGTGATTGGTGGTTCGTTTGGTGTTCTGGTCTGTGATTGGTGGGTTCGTTGGTGTTCTGGTCTGTGATTGGTGGGTTCGTTGGTGTTCTGGTCTGTGATTGGTGTGTTCTGTGTTTGTGTTCTGGTCTGTGATTGGTCCGTTCGTTGGTGTTCTGGTCTGTGATTGGTGGGTTCGTTGGTGTTCTGGTCTGTGATTGGTGGGTTCGTTGGTGTTCTGGTCTGTGATTGGTCCGTTCGTTGGTGTTCTGCTCTGTGATTGGTGGGTTCGTGTCTCCTCAGAGCCCTCACGGTCTTCCTCTCAGACACAGCGGGAGTCCAAAGTTTGCGGTGAAAACTCGACAGGCGTTTTACCTCCAGACGAGCGCCGTGACCCGCGTCGCCCGGAGACTCTGCCAGGACCTGATCAGGCCCCGCCTCCTCGCGCGCCACCCGTACCTCCCCGTCAACGCCGCCGCCATCAAGGCCGAGTGTGAGTCAAGACTCTCTCCTCCTTTTTCTCATCCTCTACTCCTCCTCCTCCTCTTCTCTCTCTTTCTCTCTCCTCTCTCTTCTTCTCAATCCCCTCTTCTCTCTCTCCTCCTCTGCTGCTTTTCTCTCTCTCCCCTCCTCTTTCTCCTTCTCTCCTCCTCTCTGTTCCTCTCTTTCTTCTCTCTTTCCTCCTCTCTCTTCCTCTCTCTCCTCTCTCTCTTTTCTCTCTCACTCTCCTCTTCTCTTCTCTCTCTCTCTTCCTCTCTCTTTCTCTCTCCTCCTCTGCTGCTTTTCTCTCTCTCCCCTCCTCTTTCTCCTCCTCTCCTCTCTCTTCTTCTCTCTTTCCTCCTCTCTCTTCCTCTCTCCTCCTCCTCTCTCTGTTCTCTCTCACTCTCCTCTTCTCTTCTCCTCTCTCTGTTCCCTTTGCTTCTCCTCTCCTCCTCTCTGCCCTCCTTGCTCTCTCTCCTCTCCTTCTCTCCCTTATCTCTCTCCTCTCCTTCTCTTCTTCTCTCTTCCTCTCTCTCTCTCCTCATCTCTCCTCTCTTTCTCTCTCCCTCCTCTTTCTATCTCTCTCTTCTCCTCTCTCTTTCTTCCTCTCTCACCCCTCTGTTCTCTCTCTTCCTCTCTCTTTTCTGTCTCTTCCTCTCTCCTTTCTCTGTTCCCTCTCCTCCTCCTCTTTTCTCTCCTCCTTTGCTGCTTCTCTCTCTCTCTTCCTCCTCTCTCTTTCTCTTTTCCTCTCTCCTCCTCTCTCCTCTCTCTCTTTCCTTCTCATTCCCCTCCTCTCTCTCTCTCCACCTCCTCCTCCTTCTCCTCTTTCTTCCTCTCTCTAATCTCCTCCTCTGCTCCTTTTCTCTCTCTTCCCTCCTTCTCTCTCTCCTCTCTCTTTTCCTCTCTCTCACTCCTCTCTCTCTCCTTCTCTCTTTCCTCCTCTCTCTTCCTCTCTCCCTCTTCTCTCCTCTCTCTGTTCCCTTTGCTTCTCCTCTCTCCTCCTCCTCCTCTCTCTCTCTCTCTTTCCTTGTCTACGTCTCTCTTCCTCTCTTCTCCTCTCTCTCTGTTCCCTCTGCTCCTCCTCCCCTCTTCCTCTCTCTCTCTCTCTCCTCTCTCTCTCTCTCTCTCTCTCTCTCTCTCCTTCTCACTCCCACCCTCTCTGTCTCTCTCTTCTCCTCTCCTTCTCCTCTTCCTCTCTCTCTCCTCCTCTCACCCCTCTGTTTTCTCACTCCTCTGTTCTCTCTCTCTCTCTCTCTCTCTCTCTCTCTCTCTCTCCTCTCTCTCCTCTCCTCTTCCTCTCTCTCTCTCTCTCTCTCTCTCCTCTCTCTCCTCTCTCTCTCTCTCTCTCCTCTCCTCCTCTTCCTCTCTCTCTCCTCCTCTCTAACCCCTCTGTTCTCTCTCTCTCTCCTCTCTCTGCTTCTCTCTCTCTTCTCTCTCTCTTTTCTCTCTCTCTTCCTCTCTCCTCCTCCTCTCTCTCCTTTCTCTGTTCCCTCTCCTCCTCCTTTGCTGCTTCTCTCTCTCTTCCCCCTCTCTTTCTCTCTCTCTTAACCCGCACACACAGAGGCGCCACATTCTCTCTCAAATACTCGTACAAATACTGAAATACTCGTTTAATTCACATCATCTTTTTAGTTTTTTATTTTATTGATTTATTTTTTTGACAGGTGCACTCCGGTTGCCAGAGAAGCTGAAAAAGCCGTCGCTGAAACCTGTGGAACGTAAACCGCTCGAGTCTGTGGTTCGGTATTTAGGTACGACTTTTAAACAACCGTCTGTGTGGAAACGGTTCTGATTTACACTTCTGAAGATTCACGTCAAAAAATAACAAACAAATACAAAAAAATAATGTCACGAGACTTTTTCAATCAGTTCACATCCATCGCAAAAGAAAAATTCTGTAACTTGACAAAAGCTGCTTCTTCAGTTCTGGACGGACGCTGGTGTTTTTATCTTCAAAAGAGGATTTACCGACGCAGGCGAGAGAGCAACACAGGACCACAGTCTGCTGTTCATCTCCATCTTTAAACTACGAACCGCTTATTTTGAGGACTTTGAGGGACAAATCTGAGCCAGAGAAAAGAAAAAAGAGTGCGTCTGGTATGTTCAGAAGTTACCGATACAAAACAAACCTCGATACAGTGAGCTTTCGATTCAATACCATATATTTCAAATCGATTCGATACAGTTCAATTTCAAGTCTAAATCATGTCTGTGATACTAAAAGTCTTTGTTAAATCACTTCTTCTTGTGCAAAATTCATAAGAAACACAAATATTTTAATCCTTAAAACAGTGAAAATGTCAAATGTGTCGCATAAAAGAGTTTCATTCCTCTGAACGAACAACACTGTAGCTGTAAAAAAAAGGAAAAATTTCAGTTTCAGGTGAGTTTCAGGTGAGTTTCAGGTGAGTTTCAGGTGAGGTTCAGGTGAGGTTCAGAGGAGTTTCAGGTGAGGTTCAGAGGAGTTTCAGGTGAGGTTCAGAGGAGTTTCAGGTGAGGTTCAGAGGAGTTTCAGGTGAGGTTCAGAGGAGTTTCAGGTGAGTTTCAGAGGAGGTTTCAGGTGAGTTTCAGGTGAGGTTCAGAGGAGTTTCAGGTGAGGTTCAGAGGAGTTTCAGGTGAGGTTCAGAGGAGTTTCAGGTGAGGTTCAGGTGAGTTTCAGGTGAGTTTCAGAGGAGTTTCAGGTGAGTTTCAGGTGAGGTTCAGAGGAGTTTCAGGTGAGGTTCAGAGGAGTTTCAGGTGAGTTTCAGGTGAGGTTCAGAGGAGTTTCAGAGTTTCAGAGGAGAGTTCAGGTGAGGTTCAGAGGAGTTTCAGAGAAGTTAAATGAACTCCACACTGAACAGCCCCCACAGTGGACTGTTTTAAGTCTCATCTTAAGACACATTTTTATTCCCTCTGTGTGGGTTAGGGTCCACGTGGCATGGTTTAGTCCTGGTTAAATCCTGGTTTAGTCCTGGTTAAATCCTGGTTTAGTCCTGGTGAAATCCTGGTTTAGACCTGGTTTTAGTCCTGGTTTTAGTTCTGGTTTAGAGGTGGGGGGAAACACAGGAGGAGGTGTGGTCCACGCAGCGTGTGGGAGGGGGGGTTCACGCTTTTGTGGGCAAGTACTCCTGAAATAAAACTTTATTTTATATTTCTATTGGATTTGTTTTATTTGTTTTGTGCAGCACTTTGAGAACAGTTTTGTTTATGAAATGTGCTCTAGAAATAAAGTGGATTGGATAGTTGGCGCCCCCTTCAGGCAGATAGAAGCAGGGTTCCCACAGTCATGGAAATCCTGGAAAAATCTCTAAGTTCTCATGAGTCTGTTCTGATTATTTGTGAACGTCTGCGACTTTTATTTAAAAAAAGAGACGACAATAAATGCACTGACAGGAAAAATGTTCAAAACTATAATTCCAAAGCATAAGGTGAGTGGAAAGAGTTAAACATTTCAGATTTAACTCTAAAATTCTGATCAATTTTACACACGTAGGAGCCGTAAAGTCATGGAAAATTCACTTTAGGTTGTAAAAAAGTCATGGAAAAGAAGCTGTAGAATGAAATATCCACCAGCGTCTCACCAGAACTGAAGAAACTGATTCAAAGAAAAAAGAAAAACCTTTTGTCCAGTGACAGATTTGAATTTCTCTTTTGCTTTGACTTGAGTTTTTTTGTTTGTTTTTAAATATGTCGTGTGTTTTTTTTCCCCCGTGTTTGCCGCAGAAGCTCACCCCCGCCCGGTCCGAGAGCCGCCGCTCCCTCGCTCCGGCTGCATCTCCACCGGGAGCCTCACCCCCATCAAAGCTCCGCCCATCCTGAACCACGGCTCGCCCACCATCCTGGGAAAACGCTCGTACGAACAGCACAACGGACTCGACGGTGAGGACGAGCGAAACACGAAACACAAAACACGAAACGACGAACACGAAACGCAAAACACGAAACGCAAAACACGAAAACACGAAACGAAACACGAAACACGAAACGCAAAACACGAAAACACGAAACGCAAAACACGAAACGCGAAACACGAAACGCACAAAAACACAAAACGCGAAACACGAAACGCAAAACACGAAACGCAAAACACGAAACACGAAACGCAAAACACGAAACGCGAAACACGAAACGCAAAACGCAAAACACGAAACGCAAAACACGAAACGCAAAACAAAACACGAAACACGAAACGCAAAACACGAAACACGAAACACGAAACGCAAAACACGAAACGCAAAACACGAAACACGAAACGCAAAACACGAAACACGAAACACGAAACGCAAAACACGAAACGAACAAAACACGAAAACACGAAACGCAAAAACGAAACGAAACGCAAAACGAAACGAAACGCAAAACGCAAAACACGAAACGCAAAACACGAAACGAAACGAAAACGCAAACACGAAACGCAAAACACGAAACGCAAAACACGAAACGAAACACAAAACACGAAACGCAAAACACGAAACACGAAACGAAACGAAACACGAAACGAAACGAAAAACACGAAACACGAAACACAAAACACGAAAAACACGAAACGCAAAACACGAAAACAAAAACACGAAACGCGAAACACGAAACACGAAACACGAAACACGAAACACGAAACACGAAACACGAAACGAAACAAAACACGAAACGAAAACACGAAACGCAAAACACGAAACGCAAAAACACGAAACGCAAAAACACGCAAAACACGAAACACAAAAACACGAAAACACGAAAAACACGAAACACGAAACGCAAAACACGAAACGCAAAACGCGAAACGCGAAACGCGAAACACGAAACGCGAAACACGAAACACGAAACACGAAACGAAACAAAACACGAAAACGCAAAACACGAAACGCGAAACACGAAACGCGAAACACGAAACACGAAACACGAAACACGAAACACGAAAACACGAAACACGAAACACGAAAACACGAAAACGCGAAACGCAAAACGCAAAACGAAACAAACACGCAAAAACACGAAACACGAAACACGAAACGCAAAACACGAAACGCAAAACACAAAAACGCGAAACGCGAAACGCAAAACACGAAACACGAAACACGAAACGCAAAACACGAAACGCAAAACACGAAACGCAAAACACGAAACGCGAAACACGAAACACGAAACGCGAAACACGAAACGCGAAACACAAAACACGAAACACGAAACACGAAACGCGAAACACGAAACACGAAACACGAAACACGAAACGCAAAACATGAACGAAACACGAAACGCAAAACACGAAAACACGAAACACGAAACACGAAACGCAAAACACGAAAACGCGAAACGCGAAACACGAAACACGAAACACGAAACACGAAACACGAAACGCGAAACACGAAACGCGAAACACGAAACGCGAAACACGAAACGCGAAACACGAAACACGAAACACGAAACGCGAAACACGAAACGCAAAACACGAAACACAAAACGCAAAACACGAAACACGAAACACGAAACACAAAACGCGAAAACACGAAAACACGAAAACAAAACACGAAACGCAAAACACGAAACACGAAACGAAACACGAAACGCAAAACACGAAACACGAAACACGAAACACGAAACGCAAAACACGAAACGCGAAACACGAAACGCAAACACGAAACACGAAACGCAAAACATGCAAAACATGAAACGCAAAACACGAAACGCAAAACACGAAACGCAAAACGAACACGAAACGCAAAACACGAAACACGAAACACGAAACGCAAAACACGAAACGCAAAACACGAACACGAAACACACGAAACACGGAAACACGAAACGCAAAACACGAAACAAAACGCAAAACACGAAACAAAACACGCCAAAAACACGAAACGCAAACACGAAACGCAAAACACGAAACGCAAAAACACGAAAACAAAACGAAACACGAAACGCAAAACACGAAAACGAAACACGAAAACACGAAACGCAAAACACGAAACGCAAAACACGAACACGAAACACGAAACACGAAACGCGAAAACAAAAACGAAACGCAAAAACACGAAACACGAAACGCGAAACACGAAACGCAAAAACACGAAACGCGAAACGAAAACACGAAAACACGAAACGCAAAACACGAACACGAAACACGCAAAAACGAAACGCAAAACACGAAACACGAAACGACAAACACGAAACACAAAACACGAAACGCGAAACGAAAACACGAAACGCAAAACACGAAACGCGAAACGAAAACACGAAAACGAAAACGCAAAACACGAAACACGAAACGCAAAAACACGAAACACGAAACGCAAAAACACGAAAACACGAAACGCAAACACGAAAACACAAAACACGAAACGCGAAACGCAAAACACGAAACGCAAACACGAAACGAAAACGAAACGCGAAACACGAAACGCAAAACACGAAACACGAAACGAAACAAAACGAAACGAAACGAAACGCAAAACACGAAACGCAAAACGCGAAACACAAAACGCGAAACGAACACGAAACACGAAACACGAAACGCAAAACACAAAACACGAAACACGAAACGCGAAACATAAAACACGAAACGCAAAACACGAAACGCAAAACACGAAACGCAAAACACGAAACGAAACGAAACACGAAACGAAACGAAACACGAAAACGAAACACGAAACGCGAAACACGAAACGAAACGAAACAAAACGAAAACGAAAACGCAAAACACGAAACGCAAAACACGAAACACGAAACGCAAAACACGAAACGCAAAACGCAAAACGAAAACACGAAACACGAAAACGAAACAAACGCGAAACACGAAACGCAAACACGAAACGCAAAACACGAAACGCAAAACACGAAACACGAAACACGAAACGCAAAACACGAAACGCAAAACACGAAACACGAAACGCAAAACACGAAACACGAAACGCAAACACGAAACGCAAAACACGAAACGCGAAACACGAAACGCAAAACACGAAACGCAAAACACGAAACGAAACGAAACAAAACGAAACGAAACACGAAACGACACGAAAAAACGCAAAACACGAAACGCAAAACACGAAACACGAAACATGAAACACAAAACTCATGACAGTAACGTTTCCCGTGGATTTAATTTGACTCGTGTGAAAATGAAAACTGACAGATTCAATGTTTAAATTTACAGAATATTGATTATGAGGTTTAATTAAAGGTGCAGATTCTATAAATGAAGTTTTCACAATATGTCTGATTTTTACTCTCAAAAACACAAAAACAGAGGTTGTGTGGGAGGAGTTTAGACCAAAGACCTGCTTAAGTCCTGGTTTAGACCTGGTTTAGACTTGATTTAGACTTGATTTAGACCAGTTTTAGACCAATTTTTAGACCTATTTTAGACTTGGTTTTGGACCTGGTTTTGGACCTGGTTTAGACCTCATTTTGGAACAATATTAGACCAGTTTTAGACCTTGTTTTAGACCAGTTTTTAGACCTGGTTTAGACCTGATTTTTAGACCATTTTAACGACCGAACACCGATTAGACAGTTTTAGATTTTAGACCGGTTTTAGACCTGAAAACAAACACGAAACGCAAAACACGACCCACGAAACGAAACACGAAACAAAACGAAAACGAAAACACAAAACACGAAACGCAAAACACACGAAACGCAAAACACGAAACGCAAAACACAAAACACGAAACGCAAAAACACGAAAACGAAACACGAAACGCAAAAACACGAACACGAACACGAACGCAAAACAACGCAAACACGAAACGCAAACACGAAACGAACACGAAAAAACGAAAACGAAACGAAACACGAAACGAAACGAAAAACACACGCAACACGAAACGCAAAACACGAAACGCACGAAACACGAAACGCAAAAAAACACGCAAAAACGAAACGAAACACACGAAACACGAAACGCAAAACACGAAACACGAAACGCAAAAACGCAAACACGAAACGCAAAAACACGAAAACGCAAACGAAAAACACGAAACGCAAACGAAACGAAACGAAACGCGAAACACGAAACACGCGAACACGAACGAAACACGAAACGCAAAACACGAAACGCGAAAACCAAAACGCAAAACACGCAAAACACGAAACGCAAAAACAACACGAAACGCACAAACGAAACGAAACGAAACACGAAACACGAAACGAAACACGAAAACACGAAACACAAAACTCAAAACTCATGACACTAACGTTTCCCGTGGATTTAACTTGACTCGTGTGAAAATGAAAACTGACAGATTCAATGTTTAAATTTACAGAATATTGATTATGAGGTTTAATTAAAGTTGCAGATTCTATAAATGAAGATTTCACAATATGTCTGATTTTTACTCTCAAAAACACAAAAACAGAGGGTGTTTAGTGGAGGAGCGCAGCCTTTAAGTTTTAGACCTAGTTTTAGATTTAGACCAGTTTTAGACCAATTTTTAGACCTATTTTAGACTTGGTTTTGGACCTGGTTTTGGACCTGGTTTAGACCTCATTTTGGAACAATATTAGACCAGTTTTAGACCTGTTTTAGA